CCCCTGGGCCCTTCTGTCACCAGACAGGATGGAGAACAAAGCTTTAGACACAGACACAGGGTGGGGTCTGCCCCACCCACCTGCCCCCAGGGGCTGATTCTTTGGCATTAAGGGGTCAGGAAGAAATACGAACACCTGTAGTATCAAGGGATCTGGTTTAAGAGGAGCAGCAGACAGGGGTGTGAGGGGGGAGGACGGGGGAGCAAGGTCAGATCCAGGGGAGCTGCTCTGTAAAAGGCCTAGGGTTTGATGTTTACTCCAGGTTTCAACCAGCTGCTGGGAATCAGCTGTCTTAAGTTCTCCAGGTTAATTTTTTTTCTTTTTTTTTTGCGGTACGTGGGCCTCTCACTGTTGGGGCCTCCCCCGTTGCGGAGCACAGGCTCCGGACACGCAGGCTCAGCGGCCATGGCTCACGGGCCCAGCCGCTCCACGGCATGTGGGATCTTCCCGGACCAGGGCACGAACCCGTGTCCCCTGCATCGGCAGGCGGACTCCCAACCACTGCGCCACCAGGGAAGGGAAGCCCCCGGGTTACTTTTTGTCGTTTTCCTCTGAACACTGGTAGTAGTCAGAAGGCCAGCTCTGCATGAACCTCGGCAAGTCCAAGTTCCCGGCCCTCACAGCACATCCAGTCCCTGTAAGAATGGGAACCTGCAGGGTGGAGATGACATAAGAGAAACAGGAACCAGGCGCAGCTCAACGAGGCCCTGCTCAGAGCACATACCATTTTCAGGTCAAATTTGGGGCTGGCGGTTAACAGACCTAGTTTCCCATTATGTATTTTTTTCATCTAGAGCCTCCATTCACTTACCGAAGGCATATGGGAGGAAAATATCCATCTCCCAGTAAACATGGTTACCTGGGAAAATGTATAATCGTCAAAGTATATGTGACCTCACTTCAAATACAGTGACGGTGTAAGGCTGTGAAGATACAGACAAGAAATTTAGTGGAAGATTTAAATGACTGTGCAAAACTTCAGCAAGTAGTTTACCTCTGAACGGAGAACGAGAATTCAGAAGTATTGCTGGCTCTGAAAAGGCTCAATCTTTTAACCTGAGAAAAGTGAATTTAAGAAGTGATGTCTTTGACAAGTTCTGAAGATGAGATAGAGACTAAATGGGAGATAGAAGTTTTCTATTCTAGAGACCCTTCTTTCTTCCACGGTTACATTTACTTATTCATTTATCATTTTCCTAACAATTTCATTGAGCTGTAATTCACGTACTGTACAATTCACCCAATTAAATTGTGCAGTTCACTCGTCAGTACATTCACTATGTGCGACCATCTCCACAATCAACTTTAGAAAGTTTATATCACCCCTAAAAGATAGTCTTTAATTTGTAGCATTTGTCTTCTGTGTCAGCCCTCTGCCAGTGCTCTGGGGTGGTGATCTGGGCTGCAGGACCTTCCCCCCTGCAATTATTTAACCAGAGGCGCAGACCAAATTTTACTTGAACAAAGGTTTCTGAGGCTTACTTTTTCCATTGTTTCTTAAGTTGAAGACCGTTATGTTCAGGCAGCGCCCTGAAACCTTGCTCTACGTCCCTTACGTCCTAAAGAGAATGTGGGCCGCGTGCAGTGATGGAGTTCTCCCACCTGCCTACCCAGAGTGGCAGAAGCCATCCTTGTTTTTCTCATGTGTGGCAGCATGATTTGTTTTAAATAAATAACTCTTGAGCTTGAAAGTTAATTTGAGAGGACTCAAATCCTGTTTCTGCTCTTGAGTAGGTCAGTATGTATTTGGGGGCCATAGTACAGAAACATGGAAAGTTAATCCAATCCAAGGTCGCTGAAGGGGTTGTTCCACGCGATTTCCTTATGGAAATTCTTCGTTTCCTGTGAATCTTCAAATAGAACTGACATTCTGTCAAAAGATAAGAACAAATATGGGAAACTCCCTTAAAGTCTGGAAGAATGCTTAGAGTTAGAACTTGGTGGGTCTCATGTGGTTTCTTGGTGAAGTAACAGAACAAAAGTTTCCTGAGTTTGAGCTGGGCCTCCCTCCGACCAGTGCCGTGTGCTCTTGGCGCTCAGTGAAACTAAGTAAGAATCAAAACAAACTGTTGGAACAGAGTGAGAAAATCTGTAAACATCAAGGCAGCATGAGTTAGAACAACCTGTATTGGTTAAGTACCAAACCTGGCAGCCAAATTCAAGAAGCAGTTTTTTATTACAAAATAAGTAGATGGAATTAAAGTAAGGGCTGTAAGGAAAGTAATTGGTAGTGCATAGTATTTTTATAGGAAAAACTGATTTTTAAGTTCATTGAGATAAGAACACAAGCACATAGATGGTAAACAGACTGGAAGTGCTTATGAATCAAGATAATTAATCAAAAAGATAAATGAGTCATTTGCCAAGGAAATGTCATGGAAGGCACCAGAGGGGTACATGTTAGATTTGGTCTTATTTACACAGTTTTTAATTGCGCTGGATAGACTTCTTCTGGAAACAGTACTAGAAGCTGAGCTGTTTCCCCTGAGCCCCTTGGGTTTTTGTTTGGGTTTTTTTTGCGATACGCGGACCTCTCACTGTTGTGGCCTCTCCCGTTGCGGAGCACAGGCTCCGGACGCGCAGGCTCAGCGGCCATGGCTCACGGGCCCAGCCGCATCGCGGCATGTGGGATCCTCCCAGACCGTGGACACGGTGGGAACAGTAAGAGTGAACGTGTCACAGGAGCGTGCTGTGTGTTAGTGGGACGACCCACGGAAAGTGCCAGTGAGTCCCTGGCCCACCGCACCCACGGGTGGCAGCTGCCAGTAACATAATCACCATAAAAACCAAGGCGCCGGTGTGTGGTCTCAGAGGAGAAGCGTAGCCCGGAGCGGCTGCAGAGTCAGCCTTTGGCCACACTTAGCTGTGGCTAAAAGCTGAGTGGAAGCCACCTTGGTGTTTCCAGAACTCTGTGGAGAGCCTGACAGCACAAATACATAAAGATTAAAACCCGAAAATCAATCAGGTAAGAGAAATGGAAGACAGATCGAGAAGCCCCACAATATGGAGAATCGCGGTCCTAGAAGAAGAGGACAGAGAAGTCGTGGCTGGAATTTTCCAACTTGGATGAGTACATGAACCCTCTGAGTGGAAGCACACGCTGAGTCCCGGGCAGAATACCCCAAGATAAATGCAGGCCCGACCTCATCAGAGCTGCCAGGATAAAGGTGAAGCCCTTCCACGCTGCCAGGGAGAAATGACAGATTCCCTGCGCAGAAGCAGCTCCGACCGACAGCAGACTTGTCGTCATTGCTAACGGGTACAGAGAAGTATTTTCCAAGCGCTGAGGGGAGACAACGGTAAACCTACAATTTTGTGCTTTGCCGGATGATTCACGAGTGGGGATTTCAGCCGTGTCGGTTCTGAGAGTTTGCTTCCCACATGCTTTCACTGGAAAAAGAAAACAAACAAAAAACGATGAAAAGATATTCACGTGCAAGAAGAGAAGTGAGAGAGAGGACGTTTCAGGAGCTGTGAAAGGCCTGCGGTTCGACCCTGCTTGCAAGTTCGCAAGGAACCAGTCACCATTACTTTAAACTTGTTCCCACTTGTTAGCTTGAACTAGGTTTGCAGTACAATGGTCTGGGTTTTTCTCCTTGGTTTTTATGTATTTACCGTAACATATACCATGTATTTTTTAACGTCTTGTACTCTGGCTGACTGCACTATCACGTTGACCGCTGTTCTCGGGTTCCTGACACCAGTGCCCAGTCGGGTCCCTCCTCCCGTGTCTGTCATCGAAGAGGCGATTTCATGCTAATTCTTGGCAACCCCTGCCTCTTATCGAATACCCCTGAATCTCCACGTTCCTTAAGTGGAAAAGGAAAAGCGCTGTGTAACCACCCAACTGCCACCATCTCGCAATGTTACATTAACCCGCGTATTATTTATCACAGCATCTTGACTCCAAGAAAACAGGGTGTTTTTCAGGAGCTGTGGTACTTTGTCAGGAGCACCTGGGTGGTAGCTTTATTATGTTCGTTTGAAATGTGTGTTCTGAACCGATGCTTTTGACAACTTTATTGATATTTCAAGTTGAATAATCATTTATGTTTGAGTACTTGGCTCTTCAGAGGTTTTGCCGTTTAAAAAGTTTTATATTTTTCTAATCAGTGATTCACCAGGGGGTTTATGGTGATACCAGGCTTGGTGTAAGTCAATTTATAAACTTGTTCTCCTAACAGATTGGAAGATATTTCCTTAGTTGTATGGATTTCATAGTTATGTAATGAAACGTTTAATGAAACATTTTTTATTGTGGCGGTAACTTACATCACAGCTATCTTATATATATGTGTGTGTTTGTAATATATAAATATGTATTTGTGATGTACATGTTTAAGCCATGTAAACAAATGTGGTAACTTCTAAAAATATATGTATCTAATATAATGAACTAGTTAGTGAGCCCCAATAAACTGGAAAAAATGGGATAAAATGGGGGAATGGCTACCTTTGTGTCTATCACATCCTTAGAAGCATAATTTGAAAAATAACCCCCTATATAATTAATAATTAGAAGTACTCCCTTAATAATTAGAAATACTAACAAATAATGACATTACTAATTGAAATATCAATTTTGACAAGCCCTTACTTATTTCTCTATAAAAACGGCTTCCTGAAAGTATCACAGAAGTTAATGAATTGCTTGTTAATTAAATGTGGACTTTTCTCCTCTAGTATTCAAATGGAAAAAAACTGAAATATGATATATTCAAATTGCTTTATACTAAATTGAACATTAATGGCAATGTGAGTATAATATATGGTAGTGTTACACATGAGAGTGATAAGAATCTATAATATTCATAATGGAATTTGCTAATTTTGAATATTGACTTATCTTTTAAGTTCATTTTGTTCCTGAAAATTCAAGTGCTAAAATAATGTCTTGCCAGCATTTTCTAACTAGCCCACGTGAAACTTGCCATGAAAAACTTAAACGTTGTCATCCAACTAACTAACCAACCTCTTTTTTTCTTCTCTCATTTTGTTAGCCTCTCAGCAAATACCCTGCTGTGATCAACGACATCTCATTCTGGTTACCTCGCGAGAACTACACAGAGAACGATTTCTATGACTTAGTCCGAACAATTGGTGGAGACCTGGTGGAAAAAGTTGATCTTATAGACAAGTTTGAACATCCAAAGTAAGTAAGAAACTTTCTGAGTTTATCCTTTTTTATTTACATGTGGCAAATGGCATGTGGAAGTATGTTATAAAATTTTGCTGCAACCTAGTGCATAAGATACAAAGGTATTCGGAATTTATAGTTAACATTCAGCATATCAGTACTTTCTGAAAATCTTTCTAAAATACATTTTTAATCTTTCCTGCCTTAGTAGACAAAGGATATGAAACAGAAGGTTTTAAATAATCTTGGAGCTTTTTGGTATTGTTTTGGGAAGTGATCTCTTACCATATCACATTCCAAGTACCAAGGAAATGAGGCAGAAAGAGCAGTTTGTGGAGAAAAAGCTGTTTTGTTAGTCTCTCACTGAATATTTATTAAGCACTTAGCACACGCCAAGACCTGTATTATGTCCTGGGAGTTAAATGTGAATCTAGAAGTGTGCTCAAGGACTCGGGGAAACGATACCCCATGAGCAAGATATCCCATGAGCTCTTGCGTGTTTCTCTGTTTATACCTAGATGACAGCTTGGCTGGATATAAAATCCTTGGCTCACCCATTTTTTGGTGAGGGTCTTGTAAGTGTTGCTCAGTTGCCTTCTCAAGTTTAACTTGATTTAAAGAAATCTGAGGCCGGGCTTGATTGTTTTCCTCTTCTTCCTAAAAGATTCTTTATCTTTAAAGTTTAATAGCAGGACCCCTCTCAGTGTTGACCTGCCCTCCCTGGGGTGTAAATCCTTGCCTCTCTCTAATCAGATTTGGCTCCACCTGGGTCTTAGGGAATTTTTCTTGAATCATGTCTGTAAGGATCTCTTTCTTCTCACCCCTCCCTTGGGGGTCCAGACATGTGTGCCCCGCCCCTCTTTATCTGACTCCTCTGCCTGCTGCTGTTTTCTCTCTAACGTTTTAAAACTCTCTCCCGCCACTTCCTTTTGGGTGCTTCCCCATCGTTACCCTCTCTGCCCACCTCCCCACGCTGGGTCTTCTGTGGTCTCTTCTTGCCCACACTCCATTTCCATCTTCAGTTCCTTTGTTTCCCCTCCTTTTCTGAGGTCTTCAAGCTCGCGTTTCAATTCTCCCTGTTTTCTTCCTGTCTCTGACCGGGGTCATTTCTGCTTTGTGATTTTTCCTTCTTAAACAAATTGCTTCGTTTGGTTTTTAAAATTCACTGCAAAATGTTTGGCCAGAAGTTTCATGTGCTCCAAAGGCAACATTTTTCTGTGACTTCCCCGTCAGTAAGTTTTCTGCCATTTTTATCTTTTTTCCATATTTTGGCTGATGCGTCAGTGGAGTGCGTGTGGTTGCCTTTTTGTCACTCATATTTGAATGCATTGGATTTTCGGAACCAGCTCTTCGCACACGGTTCAGGGCTGAGGTGGGCCTGGCGTGGTGGGAGGGGCTGAGGCCGTCACTCAGGACTGCTGTTTTCGCAACTGTAAGGCGTTTTTTTCCCTCCACCGCCAAGAACCAACCTCTCTTTAAATATGGCTCATCCATCTCTTAGGTTCTTCGTGGAGTTCTGCCTCCTGCCCCAAATCTGCACTTGTTACACACAGATTTACCTTTGTTTACCCGTTTTGACCCTTGTTGGTGATGTAGACTTTGCACTTTAAGCTGGAGCCCTGGGCTCTGAAGAAGCATTCGTGCTGGTGCTTTCTGAGCTCTGCCCATCTGTCCCTTCTCTCCACTTCCTCCCATTTGGCTTCTACTTGGCTTCAGCTGCTTTGGCAGATTTTAAACATGTTTTGGAGCTTGCAGATGATACCTGTCTGCTAACTTTACAGAAAATAGACTCCGTGGGGTAGCCCGGGGCCCGGCTCAGTGGAGAGCCTGCCCAGCGCCTGAGCTGTCTTACTACGGGGCTAGGATGGCAGTAAGGTTCCTGTGGCAGAGATTCCTAGTTCTCTCTCAACATCCCACCCCCCGTTATAAAAATATATGACTTTGATTTTTATCTAACCAACCTAGCCAACTAAAAGTCTACACTGCTGAGCTTCCTCTACAGCAAAGTGTATCTATGTAGCTGAGTTTAGCCAGTGATTTATAAGTAGAAGATTTTAGTGGCATTTCCAGAAGTTTCCTTAAAAACTGGGTTGAGGCTGTCCTTTACCTTTCTTCTACCTGGATGTGGATGTAATGGCTGGTACCTTGGCAGCCATTCTGGACCATGGTGTGACCTTGGCAGTGGAAGCTGTGTGGGGGGAACAACAGCACAGAAGTTGCCTGGGTCTCTGACACTGGGGAGTCGATTCAGTCTTAGACTTTCACAAGAGAGAGAAGTATCTTGTTTAAGCCACTATTTTTCAGATCTTCGTTACGGACAACCAAAGGTAAACCTTGCTCTTACAGCCCTGAGGAAAAGGACATACTTGAGGAAGACAATACATTATTTAGTAATGGTGGCCCACTGCGTACTGACTCTCAGGAAATATCTAGGGCAGGGGGTGGCAGACCTTTTCTGTTGAAGGCCAGATGGTAAATACAAGGGGCAGGCCATAAACAAATTTACCCACTGATTCTTGAGTGCCTGTGTTATAGGAAACATTGGCTTCACTGGGGGCACAAGGCAAGATCCCAGTTCTTACGGAGCCAGATAACGTAGGAGAAATGAACTTAGCAACAAAAAGCATGAGGTACAATAAGTTTGGTTAAACCTTATCAAGACCTGCCTGCTCTCTTGCACGTAATTGAGGCTCAGTAACTTTCATCGACTTGAAATGAGAGGCCCGTATCTAGGGCTGTGGATTCAGAGGGAAGGGGCCATCGGTCTGGGGAGAGTTACCCAGGAGCCAGGATAGCGGGCCCTGTGTGTCTGTCTCCTCTCTGACACCTTGTGAATGACACGTCCCCAGTCCTGATTGTGAGTCAGCGCTCTTTAGTGGAAACGTTCAATTTCTGTAAAAACAACTCTGGGTTGTTAGGCTGTTTTGCTGCCAGGACAGAGTCCCTCATGGTGGCCTCTTCAGGACAGAGGGGATTTATTCAGGATACACCTGAGTCAGGGCTGGAAAGCTACTCAGAACCGAGGCAGGTCTGAGACCAGAGACCTTCTGCATCTGGGCCCCTGGCTCTGTCCCTGTCCTCGCCCCTCCTGGCCAGTGTCTGCGTCCTCCGTCCCCTCCGCCACCCCCCAGCCCAAGTTACACGCACATTCACGCCTCCGCCCCTTGCTGCCTTGGCCAAAGTCTTTTCTGGCCCATCCCCTCCACTGTCCCAGTACCAATTCCGGGAGGAAGCAGCCTAATTAACTGAGCAAAGCGTCATCCCCCTTGCTGGGCAGAGCCCTTTGCACCAGGCTGTTCCTGGAGGTCTGGGCAGGCTGCGGAGAAGCCACTGTTGGTTCCAGAGCCCGTTGTTGGTCTAGTCAGGGGCCACCATAAACCGCCCGGCCCCGCTTTCTGGACACGAAGCCAGAGGCCGAGCATCTTCAGCCAGAAGGGTTCACTGGACAGTTTTCAGGACAAACACGGGAGCACTGCCTTCCTTCTCCCCGTGTGGGACTCGGTACCGCTCCTGCCTGCTGGCTCAGTCATGTCTTTTACTCTTCACTTGCTCTTAAACTTCTCCAGGCTGTTCCACTTGAGGGACACACCTTGGGGGCTGAGGACACAGTAACTCCCTCCACCCTCCCTCAGGGTTTATATTATTGGAAGGAGGCTCACATCCTGATGCTTGGTGGATACTTAATAATCCTCCTTCATTCCTTGAAAGAGCTTTTATTAGATGACTAGGAATGGCTTATGGCACTGGAAGGGGAGGCGGCGTAGTCTGAGGAAAGAGCTCAGGTTTCAGAGTCAGAAGCCTTGATCCCTGACCCCTCACATCCTAGATGTCTGGGACTGGGGCTTCCTGAGCCTCAGAGTCTCCACCTGCCAACTTAAGATGAGCACGAATATCGTCTTTAAGTGGTAGCCGCAGACACAAGATGAGCCTATCTATGTGAATGCTTTGAAAATCGCACAGAGTTCTAAAACAATTGCTAGGTGTTTGAGTATAAATCAGTGACTTTCACGGTCAACCTGTGTTGTTTTTTTAAAATAAGGAGTGACCTCAGTAGAGCGAGTCAGCTGGGGTTTGGCAGTCAATACAGATCATGGGGAAGCTCTGATACTAGAGGGAAGAGAATGAGACTTCACATAATGCTGTCATCTGAAACGGTGCCTGGTCTTCCTGCAACTTGAGGAGTAAATTTTTAAGCAGAACAAAATAAAAATACTTTGTGCAGTGGCACAGACGCCGGCCAGCAGGGCTCTATAGTCCACAGGACCATTCTCTGGGTTGTATGTTGGGAAAATGCTACGGGCAGTGGCAGGTGGACTGACGTCTCTGGTCTGCATCTCTGGTCTTGTTTCTTTAGACAGAGCCGAGTAAGTGCACTTATTGGAACTAAAAGATTGGCCAGCAATGAGAAGCCAGCTCCAGTGAATCTTGGGAGAGCTCGTCAGAAATGGCGTCCCCCTTGAAATTGACAACATGCGGTACCAAGGAGACGGCATTAGAACTCTCCTGTCTCCTTGCTCTTCCTTCATCGTTATTGCAAGGCTGGTGGCATGAGTATCAGAACTTCTGTTGTTGTGGTTCCGACAGCCCGGAAGGCAGTTCTAAGAAGACTATTTTTGGCCTGATATATCTTTTTCCCGATCCCGTCCCTACCCTCCTTCCCCAGGCCTTCTTTTTAAAGCAGCCCACGAGGTGTGCGCTTTATTGTGATCACAGAGCAGCCGTGCTGGCCACCAGCATGAGACGCGTTAAAACACAATTAGTTCAGTCCCCAAACTCCCTGTTCGGCCTTGTCCCCCGGGACCTCGCCATTTGCGGAAGGGTTCTTCGGGATCACCCGCAGGCTGCCCGGGTCCCAGAGGAGCAGGTCTGCACAGAGGAGGGAGGGAGCAAAGCACCTGCTTGATGCTGGTGAGGCTGGGCCAGAGGCCAGGCGCCCGGTGAACGCGTCCTCAGTGACCTGCTGTGTCACTGCACACCTCTGTGGAAACTAACCCAGAAGCCACTCTTTCCTCTTGAGCTTGCAGTGAGCAGTTTTCGGGGGGGTCCTCTGGCTGTGTCTCCGCGTGGCATCCTGTGTACCTTTTTGTAGCGTGGAGACTGCACGCCCTCTTTCCAAGATGCCAGGTGAGAGCACCTCGCGCCCCTTGACGGTGGCCTGTCCGCCCTCACAGTGCTGATCAGAGTGAAGCAAGTGAGGACAAGCCCCGAGGGCAGCACGCGGGATGGGAAGTCTCCGATCTGCTGGCAGAAGTGGGATAGGGGGCCCACCATCTGGGGCAATTATGAGAAAGGCTTTCAATCATTTTGGGTCTTCAGAGTTTTTAACCCAGTTCGCAGGGTCACTTCTTTCCACGGGCTGCCACCCAAATGTACGCCCGGAGACAGCCATGGGAGTCAGCCCTCCCCCGCCCTCCCTCACCGTCTGTCCCCGTGTCTGTCACCTCATTCTTCACGGCCCACGGAGGCTTGGCCCCGAATGTACTGCAGCCCTCAGAGTTAGTCGTGTTGTCCTGGCGACCAAGAGACGCATGAACCCAAATACAGCCTGACGCTGTGCGAGCTCAGAATTGTACCTAGTGCCCCCACACAGTTATCCTCATTAGAGATTTGGGGGCCGAGTCTCTACAGGTGGGCCTGCATTTGTAAGGATGTCTCAGGGGCACACAGGTGAGGCCTGTGTGGGAGAGTCTTCAAAACTTCAGATCTCTGAGCGGCGGAGGTGCCCTGGTGGACCTGGGCCTCACCTGGCTGGTGTCCTGAGTGAGAATCGAGCCTTTTCTGCCACCAGCGCCTCTGGGCGGGGGCAGCACACAGTCCGGGGCCGCGACTCCCACTGCAGGCGGGGGCGGCACCATGCAGCCGCCCCAGTGTCTCCTGGGCGACTTATTTTCCTTAACTTGGTCAAGCTGAGGCTCAAGCAGCAGCCAGGAGGTGTACCAAAGAAGGCAGGGGGCGGCCACGTGTGGGATGAGGGGTCCCTCCAGGGGGAAGGACCAGCGATGCGCACTGGTGGGCCCAGTGGTACCCACCGTCTAGGGTGTCTGTCTTAGGGACTTGGTAGAGGGCCGAGCAGTCAGTAGCACGGGGAGGTGTGAGGCGGGGCAGACAGGCCGTCCCAGAGGAGCCAGGCTTCGGGGCAGCCATCCAGCCACGAGTGGAGTGGAGCCTGGCTCAGGCTGTCTCGGAGGGCCGTGGGGGCCACTTTCTGGGGTGCGAGCCCCGGGCGTTGCGGCACGGCCACCAGCAGGGCCGCCTGGATGGTCTGCTGGGAGCTGCTGGCCCAGGGCTGCAGCTGGTGTCCGCATCAGAGTTGGGATCGGGGCCTGAGTCCGAACGAGGCAGAATCTGAGACCCGGTGCTGGGGGGACATGGGGAGCGGTGCAGTTAGAAACCCGAGGAGAGCAGCAGGTCCTTACAGGCGCGTCCCCCTGTGCTTGTTTTGTTTCGTCTTAATAGCCCGTAGCTTCACTGTGGCCTGTTTATTCAAGTGTAGTTAGGGGCCAGGGAGGGTGTTTTCATTGTGGGAATTTGATCGGGGTCTAGTGAGGAAAGAGCAAGGTAGAATGTTCCGTGAGATTTACACGAGGAGAGAAGGGCGCCTCAAGGCAACGTGGTACCAGGAGGGCATCCCCGTCTCAGTGGGGCCGCTCGTGACGGTGAGAGGACGGGTCAGACGCCGAAGACGTGAACGAAGGAACCTCTGTTCCGATGTCACGGTGGTCACCACCCACCTGCTCACAGGGGTCTCCGTCTCCAGCAGAGCCCCCTCAGGGTCTTCTGGAAGCCCCAGAGGGCGTGTCGTGTGTGTTCACCAACAACCCTACTCCACTGAACACGGCGACGGCTCTCATCAGGTCCCCAGGGTTTCCGGCCGGGCGTTGCCGGTCCTGCTGCTTCCCCAGCAGGCACACTGTTGAACTTCAGAGCCCCGTGGTGTCCTGTGTGTTCCAGGCTTGTACACAGCGGAGTCAGGTCATGCTTGTCACCTCTGCCTGAGCCACATCTTCCCACCTGCCTCGCAGGGCCCCTCCCGCACGTCCTCCCCTCGGCTTCTCCCTTCAGGTAACACATCAGACAAAGGCTGGGGATTCCAGGTTGGACCTGGCGAAGTCTCGTTTACACTAACATCTTTTCCACGCGAGCGCTGTTCGGAAACGAGGACAAAATCAGCAAAATGCCAGTTGCCTTAATGACTATTCTGTAAGATGTCTCACGTGTGTCCTATTTCTCAGAGGAGACAGAACCTCACAAAGTGTTTGGGTCTGTGTTTGACAGGTGTGGCTACTTTTCTTAGCCTTCACTTGCTCCTGAAAGAGACAGTAGTAGTAAGATGAGGAGAGAGGAAACTAGGAATGAAAATTAAGCAGGTGAAATATTTGTACAAGAGATGGCAGCCGTGGTCTAGACATTTACACAAAATTTTACTGGAATAAATAATCACTGAGCCCAGCTTTCATTAAATATGGTAATTTCTCCTAGATCATCCGTCCAGTCATGCACCCGGTATGCGGTTTTTGAAATTCTGTGGTGATGGTAGAATGAGTATTTCTAACACATTCTTCTGTTTTAGCAGTTGCCATATTGCATTGCATTTATCCACTTTTCCACCCTTGCACTGTGAATTAGTGTCAAGCACTGGGTCTTGAACTTTCTACTATCTTTGGGTTTTAGAACATAGTAACCACACTCACTTAAAAGATCTTGGTGAATGAATGATGAAGAAAAAGAAAGAAAATTCATACATTAGGTCATATTTTCTCAGGATATAACAGACATCCCTTTCCATGTAGACCAAAAAGACACCCCAGTTGGTAACATTTTCTGGTCGAGTGACCGGAATTCTTTCCTATCAGTTATGATGGTTTCTTACAGGAGAGAAAAGTGGGGTGAGGACTGATACGTAGGAACAGGAATTAGGTTTCAATAAGTTGGGTTCTGAGTAAACGGCTGGTTTAAAAATAGTGCAGTTTGGGCCAAATGTTCAGATAGAGAAAAGGAAGGAAAGAAAAGGGGGAAAAGGTGTTTTTAAGAAGGTTGGTCGTATCCTATATAAAATATATTTTAAAGCTCTGAGCTCCCAGGATCAGGAAACTGGGGGTGTTGGAAGTATGCAAATTATCCATGGTTACCTAGAAAACCCTTTTCTCATTGGAAGAGGGGAGATCACAAGGCAGGATAGAAATTCAGGGAATCAAATTGTAATGTGTTTATATGTATGTTTGTTTGCCACAAGATGATGAGCGAGGAAAATTTCTGAAGGAAGGTAACATGAAAGGGAGAAAAAAGCTGTCTGCACAGGGAAGGCAGAGAAGCTTTCGATCTCCTGAAAGTGGAGTTTCCAAACCAGTATGCACCGAAGCTGTCCTGTCCAGAGTCACAGGAGTAGTGGACCCTGGCATCCTTTTCTGGAAGCAGCTTCTGCCCCCAGCGTATGCAGCCTTGATAGGGCAGCTTCCACGCTGGTCCAGTAGGTCTCTGCCCCTTGGCCCAGTTGACTGGTCCAGGGGTGAGCACCTAACAAAGCTGGGCAAATGGGCCTCTTCTCGGTCTTGTTTGGGTGGAAAACCAAAGAGAGCTTTTAAGCTGTAAGTGGTCTTCCTGGGAGCCATCTCTGGCCGTGTTTCCCAAGGTGCGCAGAGAGAGAGGGAAGGAAGTGGCAGAGTAGAGATGGGAGGTGGAGGGAAGATGCTGGCGAGGTGGAGTCCCTCGTCCCACCGTGTGCTGGGGCCCAGCTGCACTGGCCCTTCCCACAGTCCTTCCTCAGACTCCATAAGCCAGCGCAACTCCCCTGTCCCTTAAGCTCTTGGGACGTGGGCTTCCATTCCTGGAGACCAAATGAGTTCCAGTCACTTTGGGCCCTGGAAGAGGGCAAGAAGGCAGAGGAAACAGGCTGAAGCCATCAGCCTCCTTGTCAGAGAACTTAGAGCAGCACAGAGATGAGCTGCAGCTGGCCTCGGTCTCCAAACGTCTCTATTCGGTATGAGTTTTAAATGGTTCTTTTCCTCTGAGCTGGAGTGGCTAAAAATTAATGTTCTCTTGGTGTGACGCGCTCGTTCCAGGGGACATGCGTTGCACACTTACCCTGGGGGAGGCACCGTGCTATCTGTGATACTCATCGCCCGGAAATACCAAATCGATTTTTAGAAATGAGCTCCTGTCCTCAAGGCGCTCACAGTCTGAAAGGAGGTCCGTGCAGATAGATATTTGCAGTCAGTGTGCAGTCAGAGGCCTTGGATGAGCGATGCACCACCGTGATTTCAAAGAAGTGCAGCGCCTTACTTTGCCTTAAATGCTCAAGAAACTTTCACAGATCATGGTTCATCTGAATCTTGAAGGCAAACAGGACTTAGATATGGAAGGGGCCAAGGCCGAGAGGACAGCTTGCGCAAAGACAGGAAGACGGAGATGGGAGAGGAGTTCAGAGTGGCTGGCGTGCAGGCACACGGGGGTGAGGATGAACCGAGAGTTTGTAAGGGGTCAGATCATAAAGGCCTTGAATTCCCTTATAAAAACGTGGACTTATCTGGTCGAGCTCGTGGGGAGTCACTGAGCTGGTCCAGCTACTTGCAGTTCACAAAGGATTATCTGCCTTTCCTGTGGCCACCGTGTTGGCCAGGGGTGAGGTGGGTCCTAGGAAAAGATGTAGAAGCACACGTGTGCAGTCTGAGTGAGAGAAGATGCGTTCTCGCTGAGACGGTGGCAGGAGCCTTGTGGGAAGAAGCTGGCTGGTGGGGGAGATATTTAGGAGTTAGGATCCCCGGGAAAGGTGGGCTGTTGCAGGGAGAGAGCACGGGCCCAGAAGGAAATACAGCTCCCAGGACCTGGACCCGTGTGACTAGGAGGATGGAGGTTGATGATGCCATAGGGAGCAGGTGGGGGGAGCAGTCTTTCAGGGAGATTATTTGGTGCCTTTGAGCTTCTTGGCTTGAGGTGGGGCACACAGGAAAGTTGACCTAAGAGCCCCCGAGGGGGGGCCAGTATTAGAATACATACTCGGGAGTTGGAGCATTGGGCGTGACTGGGACCCCAGAAAGTTCTAGAACAGGAGAAGAGGTGGATGAGAAGAGAGCCCCAGGGAAGGCTTAGGGGATGGGAGAGAGGGAGAGAGAGCGAGGGAGGGGCTCAGCAGGGTGACCCAGGACCTCCAGGTGGAGAAGCAGCGGCTGGGGGTGGAGAAGCAGCGGCTGGGGGCGGAGCGCGGTGATGGGGTCCAGCCAGCGGGCACCAAGGCCATACGGATCGGCCTTTAGAAAGTTCAGTTCCAGAAAATACTTTGGATAATCACACTTCTTCCCCTTTCCTCCCGTCGTGGCTTCACTTATATTTATTCCACAAATGTTAGTAATTAGAGAATGCTTGATTTCATGGATATACACCGAGGGTTGATGTATTACAGAGCAAACAAGGTGTCCCAACTCTGCCGCCTAGACCTGCCTCTTCAGAGCTGTGTGTCCGGCAGTTTTCACTTGGAGTGATGCTGTAGGGAAGTTTCACTTTTCTGTCCCTTACCTGTTCCTGTTTTCCCTCCCTGTATGGTTCATTTAAAGGATGGACTAGGACAGCTGTAGGGCCTTGTCCAGGCCCTCTGAAAAGCAGGATGTGGTGATTAGAGACCGGCTCCGCACACAGGGGTGGCCCGCTTAATACAAGCCTCATTAGATTCATTCATGGGGTGTAGCCGATGTATCTACTCAGGAAAGGATGTGGCCTGAAAATTAGGACCTAAACATGAATAGGATTTAGGATTTAAACGATACTTTGGTCAGCATTTCTTAAAATGGCACATGGAGGAAACACTCCTTAATATCACATATACTTCCCGTTGGTTTTGTGTGGCAGGGGTCTGTTCACCCGCTGGGGGGGGGCTTGCAGTCCTCCTGGGGGACAGAAGTGCAGTACAGTCCAACGCAGGCGCAGTTCTAGAGGTCAGACCTGACCTGCACTCACCTCTCAGCCCAAAAACAGCCTTCCCAAAATGAGAGGAAGCAAGCAAGGAAAGCAGAGTGAGGAACATATTGCGAGGAAAACAGAGACTTGATTATATTTAGAATGTTATTTTTCTGACCTAGATTAAATCAATGGATACCTATACATTGCACTTCTCCGTTTCAGGATTCCTCCCGCAAGAGAACCGATTTAAATATGAATCCCAAATAATGTTATCTCGTGTCTGATGCAGGAATATACCTGGCAATATTAAGCAGATCAAACTCCTGAGAAGCCTGGTCTGATTAGAAGCTATTCTTGGCATTGTTTAAGTAAAGGAGATCAATAGAGATATTCAAGATGGAAAAGTCCTAATAGTTAGTAGGAAACCAAAATTCAAGGTCTCTCCAACCTTCAAAGCAGAGCAAGTGTTTCTCAGGAAACGAACGTGTCTTAGAGATTCAGCGGGGCCCCCGGACAGTAGTGCCCCCTCCTTCACGCTCCACACCTGGTGTGGACCCCCCTCCCTGCCTGGACATCACCCTGCAGGCAGCTTTGCCTGGCCAGTGGCTGGACCAGGTGCGGGTTGAAATTGGACTCTGTAACATATGACCCGATTTACACATTTATATATTGTAATCACACTGTTTAGCTATTTTATTTTATTTTTATTTTAATAATATCAGATTATTCTTTTTTTGTTTGTTTGATGTGGACCATTTTTAAAGTCTTTATTGAATTTGTTATAATATTGCTTCTGTCTTATGTTTTGGTTTTTTTGCCACGAGGTATATGAGATCTTAGCTCCCTGATCAGGGATCGAACCTGCACCCCCTGCGTTGGAAGGCAAAGTCCTAACCACTGGACCGCCAGGGAAGTCCCTGTTTAGCTATTTTAAATAATACTTTTACTTAGGTTTCCTGCTTGCAATACAAGGGGGATTGTTTTTTTCGTTTAGCTCATGCTATAATGTAAAAATGGCAAGGCAGTTGTTGTACTCATAATTGCAAATTTGTTTAATTAAAATTACATTCAGTTGTGCTGACACACTTTTAAGCAACTGTGAAAAATAGCTATTATGATCTGTTGGTATGCTGCCTTGAGTGGCTAATAATTTTAGTTAGAAGGAGGTTTTAGTTCTTTATCATCACCAAACTTGAACATTAAAGTTTGAGTGAAACAGTATCAATAATTTTAAACCTTTACATTTGTTTATCAGTTGGGCCTTTGCATTATGTTTTTAAAATCAGTTTCTCACCCTATCCCCCAATAAAGATAAGGGAGTTTTATCTGTTAAGTATCACATGGGAGTGTTCTATGGAAAAATAGATCCAAACAGTCCATAGCAGGTGTAAGGGGAGCCTGTCTTCGCAAGTGTTACTTGCTCTCCTGAGATTGGGTCGTGGTTTCTGGAGCTCAGGTGACCTGCAATGGCTACATGATGTGGTTTTGTCATATTCTGTCTTATTTCTTATAAGTCCTGGGAAGAATGGACTGCATCGTCACTTGGGGCTGGCGGGCCTTCACGGAGCAGTGCACTGGCTCTGGAGGCTGCCCCAGCTTCAGGTCCTGGCTTTGTCACCTGGTGGCTGTGGGACTTTGAGCAAGTTCCTTTCTCTCTCTGAGTTTCTTTGTCTTTACGATGGAATTAAGGTTAGAACCTACCTCAAAGTTTATTTTGCAGGGCCTGGCACCTACATATACAGAATTAACTACTGTTGGTGGTGGCGATGAGATCCTAGTGGCGAGTTTCTTCTGGGAGAAACTAATTGTAATTGAATGTAAGCACTAACTACACACCCAGAGCAGCAAAGCTTCCAGCTAGAAGGTTTGCGTGTTATGTTTACCATAGTTAAGCTCATACTCAAAAGAGGCGTACAGCTGCTTGATGATAATAAACAACAAAGTCGCTTTCTTGAGGTCTAATTGTTTTGGATAGGAAGAGGAGAAAAGAAGGTAGAGGATATTTTGAAAGAAAAAAAGTGTGATGGGGTTTAAGATCTGAGAAGGAATTGTTTTAACACCTTAAGAAAAGGTTGCAATGTACTTTTTTTTTTCTGAGCACAATAAATGCTTTAGGCTGTAGGCGGTTTGATATTATTGGTAGAGGAAATGGGAAGAAACAACAGAATTGGACTCTGCAGCCAGCACATCTGTTTGCAGGGCGCTGTCTCATGAGCCTTCCATTCTGGACAGGCCCTGCGTCTGTGTTTCTTAGGGTTTTGATTCTGGACAGAAGTCTGCCCCGTAGAGTCTTAAATTCCACAGGGATCTTGCACAAGACAGCCGCATTCTGACCTGGAGTCCGGTGAACAGCTGATTTGATGATATAAGCAATTACCAGATAGTTGCCGTCAGTGTCCATGAAACGGGGAGATCAGTCATTTTTAGGAGATGACGCTCCTTTGCCATCATCTATTGGTGTTTTAAAATCTATCTCATGGTAGAATAGTTTCCAGAGCACATCGACCATTAGATGTCTTTTAAAATAGCATTGTTGGGCTTCCCTGGTGGCGCAGTGGTTGAGAGTCCGCCTGCCGATGCAGGGGACACGGGTTCGTGCCCCGGTCCGGGAAGATCCCACATGCCGCGGAGCGGCTGGGCCCGTGAGCCTGCGCGTCTCCGCAACGGGAGAGGCCACAACAGTGAGAGGCCCGTAAAAATAAATAAATAAAATAAAATAAAATAAAATAGCATTGTTACACTAATTTACAAAAAGCATTGTGGCCTAAGCACGAGACTTATTCAGGAGCCCCAAGGGCACGGGGCACGGCCTGCAGAGCCCGTGCAATGCAGGATAAAGTCCTAGTCCTCAAGACATTTCTCTAGCGTCCCTGTGCCATCAGTCGATGGGCTGTCAGTGTTCTCACCCAGCTTCTCATCTGGACGAGCCACTGGTTCCTCACCTAAAAACTTGGCATCATAACCCTACCTTAAAAGCAGCATTGTAAAGTCTAAAATGAAATGAAGTTCGTAAAAGTAAATCCAAATACTGTTTAAAGCAGAATGATTGAATTTTTAATTTTAACACGTGTCCTGCAGCCTTCTTTGTGGCTGCGGACATATTCCCAGTGCCTGGTGCTCTGTGTGTCGTGCCCTGTCATGGGAGTTATCATGTAATGTAACCGGAAGCCATATTGTTCTCAGTCATTATTTGGAATTTGCATATGAAATGTTAACGATGTTTGTACTTTGCACTTAACTCCTGAAGATTTGCACTCATCTGGGAATCCCATCAGGTGTGTTCAGAATATCTTTGGGGATTTTCAGGAATGAAAAGTAGATTGATTCTTCTTGCTTAGGTAGAGTGAACTGGTTCAGAGTTTATCAGACTGTTTGCATAAATGCCCCGTAGGAAACTCTGAGGTGCCTGGGAAAGGCCACATTGTCTTGTAAATTGGGGAATCAGACCTACCTTCCTGTCTTCTTTACTAGACATCTGGTTCTTTATTTGCAAATGGTTCAGTGGGAACAGTGCCAGTGAGGCCCCTGAGGTGTAGGGCCTTGAGAAGGTGTCTGTGTACTTGCAGATTTCACTGACTGACAGGCAGGGTCCTCGAGAACCAGCCTGTCACTCACCATTACCGACGTGGTCGGCGCCCCTACGCTGGTGTCTGCAGCTGCGCATTTGCTGCCTCAGGCCTGGGCGTCTGGCTAGAACACGGAGGTCTTCGAAGGCTCACCTGCTTTCTTCTCCTTGTTCTGAGCAGCGTGTCCAAGGGTCACATACTTCCCTAAGGTAAGGTGTCTCTAATCAACAGTCAACCCTCAAATACTCTGGAGGGTTTTGAATAATCCTTTTTTTTTAAAATCATGCTCCGTTTTGCTGCTATCTGCTTCACTCTCGGACTTAGTTTTTAAAGGTTGTATCCCCAAGGTAATGTTGAACTTTTTCATGAGTATGTGTCTTTCAAGTCTCTTTTTCCTATAATCCTATGTGGGCAATTTAATTAGGGGTGTGTGTGTGTGTGTGTGTGTGTGCGCGCGCGCGTGCGTGTGCGCGCACAGACGCAGGGACTATGGAGTACCTGTTCTGTATGAGCTACTGTATTATATGCTGGTACCGTGGGAGGACTGAGGCTCAGAGAGTCTAAGTCGCTGGCCTGAGGTCACACAGCTGTTAAGTGGTCATGGCAAGACTTGAAGACACATCAGCTCCCACTGTGCTTCCGACCCTGCAGATCCACCAAATCAAACCTGGGCATTGGCCGTCTCCCACCCCTCCCCCCGCATCGGATGAAACACCTGAATCTTATTTTTCCAGGTCATTGTAATAGACCCGAGGCCTGGCTTGCTCACATAGTAACTAACAACAGAGGTTTCATGCAGAGGCTTCTAACAGCAGAGGCTTCATGACCAGAGCAGCTGGGGACAGGCCACCTCCTCTTCCTGTTGGAAGGGGCGCGGTGAGGAGGGCAAACAGCCCTTTCAGAAGATTGTCCTTATTTTCAAAACCCCATTCTTCTCCCTGGCGCTCTTCATCCCCACAGTGGTGTGTCATCACAGAGTCACGAACAGGGGACACACCAGCAGCTCTGTCCCACAGGGGTCTCTGTAACTGAGCTGTCCATTGGATTTTGCACGTCAACAGTCTAAGGACAGCACACTCCCAGGCTCTGTTCCCTTGATGCCAAGGGCAGGGAATGAAACGCAGGACTGATGATACCCAGGGAACTAATACAGAAGATGCTTCCCTATCCACCGTGGATATCTGTGGGTCACCACACACACCAAGCCTGGGTTACCAGGTACCAGAGTTCAAATACACAGGCTGCCAGGCAAACACCTCCACGATGCAACTCAAGGGTGACTTTCTTTAGGGAACCTTTCATGATACCCCTGTCCTCTGAGGAGAGCTGTTTATCTTTGGTGTGCATTGTACCTACGTGTCTGTCACTAACACTGTGTTGCGCTTAGCGTTTTCATCTCTCTCACTAGGCTAGACGCTCGAGGGCTGGAATCTTGTCTTCTTGGTCTGTCATCCTCAGTGCTTACCATAATGATTGGACATTTAGTAAATATCCATTAAATGAATAAAAGTCCCTTAGCCAAAGTCTTATGCTAATACTATCAATACATGCATACGTATGTGTATAAATGCATATGTGTGGATAACATGCATATATATAATACATATTTTAGACACCTGCATAGAAAACTATAAATGTAGAACAGTACAGGCTTAAGCTTGAACTATAATTGAGCCAGGACAATCCATGTGTAGTGTGCTCCTGAATCATGTAAATCCCTGATACGACTTTCTTTTTCAGTCACTTGTCCATTGTTTAAGCTTTCTGATTATTCGGAGTAAGGACTGCTGATGGTTTACTCCAAGATAAAACTTTTATTCTGAAAATAATATTTTCACTTTAAAAACCTTTTGAAATATCTGAGATCATTCTTTCCCCATCTAAAGCAGTAACTGAGGGTTGATGTAATATATCCTGTGTTTGCCCCTGTGTGTGGAATCTAACCTAGCACCTCTGGAAGAAGAATGGAAGAGGGTTTCTTTAAATGTCAAAAAAAAGAAAATAGAACTTCCTCCTGTGCAACTCTCTCCAGCTTCTGTCTGACCTTGGATGCCTGCTCTCCAGGAAGAGATGAGAGAGTAATTTGCACAGCTGTAAACAACGTAAAGGAAGCCGGCTTTGGGATGCATTGTGCTGTGTGGGTGCTTGTCATTGAGTCCAGCGTGCTGGAGGGCAGCACAGAAGGATGGGGCCCGTGGTAAACTCACCGGACGCATCAAACCCTCCGCAGCCCAGTTCACGTCTTCAGAAGTCTGTCTGTGTCCTCGTGATACTCACCCGGCAGCCTTGATGGGCACATCCACCCTGGCTCTGGTGGGGTCTGGCCCTGCGACACAGAGCATCTTGACCTGAGCATGGCTTCATCCCAGAGAGATGGGATCGAAGAAAATGCCATTATGAGCTCAGAACATGAGCTTCAGTAAAAAAAAAAAAAAAAAGTGGCTTTTTAAAGAAATGTTTATTTTAGGCTAATTAAGGAAATAAATAGCCCCACTCTAAGAAAAACTCTTAACTCCCATATGATCTACCTTCACGCACACAAAAATTTTCTTCCAGGAGGAGGGAGCAGCAAATGTACGTGGGTGAGACAAAGAACCAAAATAATAATCCAGCTTTAATCAAAACCCCTTGTTACAGCATTTCCTCTGAAAATGATTTCTAATCAATGAGTGCTACCACAGCGCTTACATGTGTTTCACTCTGAGCTGTGATTAGAAACAAGATGTGAGATCAGAGGGGCAGAAAAGGAGGATAAGAAGGAAAAATCTAACCTAGGTGCTGATATGCACAGGCTGTGGGCTATTTCATAAGCATGGAGGCTGCTCCAGGTGGGGATGTCAACGTCCGTTCATCCCCTGGTAAACACGTCCCCGCTCTTTGGGGCAGCATCGGTGATGGCCGCAGGATGCCCTGCTACACAAAGGTGAGGCAACCAGCTGGCTCTCGTGAAAGCGTTCGTTCTGGCAGCAGGGAGGCGTTTGGGCCGCTAGACCACCTTCTCGCCCGGTGTCCAGGAGGTCGGGGGCCAGCTTGGTACACAGTCTCCAGCCCACGCAGTAGTTGAACCTGGTCTTTATTAGTCCAAGAAGCGACACAGGGGCCTGGGAAAGGGAGTAAAAGACTTGGAACAATTCTACCTGTGAAAGGAAAACGTGAGAAGAGGCGAGGGGTGAGTAGGTGGCGGTGGGGTGATTGAGAAGGCGAGGACCACGCGGTTTCTGTCAAGGAGACAGGAGGTCTGTGGCCCCAAGTGCTTGCGGGCTGAGAACAAGTGCCCGAACTCTTAAGAACATACGAGGAAAGTATGATGAAAACACGTGCACCCGGAGAAGCAGAAGCCTTCTTTATGGTGACAGTCACCTGCGGAGCAGTGGTGGGCAGGGAAGGTTGTCCCCATTTGTCAGCGAGACAGGAGCCCTCTGCCCACGGTCACAGCACAGCCCCTTCCTTTCGTTGAGAGGGGCCAGTCGTGTATATTGGTTCCTTTTAGCCCTTGTCTCAAATAGCTAGAAGGATGTCAGCAGGTCTACCCGTGTGATCTTGGTTGCTCAGCCACGTGATTCCCTTGGAAGCATTCTCGCCCGGCGATGCTCTCCCCAGAGAAAAGCCTGGACGCGCCAGGGTTTGATCCTCCAGTTTTAACTCAGCGTCAATGGCTAGCTCACGTGATGACCTGCATTCCTACTCCCAGTAGGTAATAATATAGTTTTTAAAATTTTTACCCTCTGAAAAAGGACTGAAAGAAGCTAAAATGAATGACAGGTTTATTTTAGTGATCGTTCTCTGAATATGTTTACAAATGGGAATGGCTACAAACTCAGGTCATCTTAATGAAAATAGACTCAATAAACTCTTAGTTGACTCAGATCTTAGGATTCTGAAGCAGCGATACTTAGGCACAGAAGAGCGCTTCACTGAACGTCTTTGCAGTAAAACTGACTGACTTGGATAAGATGTCCTTCCCACCTTCAAAGATGCTTAACTTCTTCTCAGATTATCCTGCAG